CTCCAGAGGACGTTGTTGTCGAGACCGAAGAACCGGCTGGCGATGCGGCGAGTCCCGTGTCGCCATCGGAAGCCGAGTACGAAGCCGAGTTTGACACGGTTGACGAGTCGCACGCTGTCGCCGAGGTCGCCGACATTGCTCCGGAAGCTGAAGCGTCGGTTGTCGCGACGGAGCCCGAGATCGTCGAGGCGGTGGAAGCGACGCCGATCACCGAAGAACCGAGTGTTGTGGAGACTCCCGCGGCCAGCTTGGAGTCGGAAGAGCCCATCCCGGTGGTCGAGCAAGTCGAAGACAACGACTATGCGTTCGCCGACTTTGATGCGGCGGCCGAGGCGTCTGCACCTGCCACGGAAGAGCCGGTGTTGAGCGTCGAAGAGCCCAAGGCCGACGCAGAGGTCGATGAGGCTGTTGTCGCTGCGGAAGCCACACCTCGTGCTCCAGAGGACGTTGTTGTCGAGACCGAAGAACCGGCTGGCGATGCGGCGAGTCCCGTGTCGCCATCGGAAGCCGAGTACGAAGCCGAGTTTGACACGGTTGACGAGTCGCACGCTGTCGCCGAGGTCGCCGACATTGCTCCGGAAGCTGAAGCGTCGGTTGTCGCGACGGAGCCCGAGATCGTCGAGGCGGTGGAAGCGACGCCGATCACCGAAGAACCGAGTGTTGTGGAGACTCCCGCGGCCAGCTTGGAGTCGGAAGAGCCCATCCCGGTGGTTGACCTAGGCAATTCGACTCGTCCGATGTCCGCGTTCTCGCCTGGCTCCTGCACAGTTCCGGCTATTCTATTCGGCATTCCTCTTGTCCCCCACATCGATTCGGATTCAAACTCATCACGCCAATCTGTGGACAATGTCGTGAAAGAAAGCACGGATGCGGCCAACGACACCGACGTTGAAGCTGCGCAGGAGCCTGTGGACGAGTCAATTGTCCAGGAACCTGCTGCGGTTGAGCAAGATGCGCAGGCCGCCGACGACACCCCGGAAGCCGCGCCAGTGGACGACGTCCCGCAAGAAGTCGTCCAAGAACCGGTCGAAGAGGCGGCGGTCGAGCCCGAGGCCGCTCCCGTCGACGATGTCGTGGTGCCTACCAACGAGTCCAACGATGAAGCGCCAGTCGCCTCGGAAGAAAGCACGGATGCGGCCAACGACACCGACGTTGAAGCTGCGCAGGAGCCTGTGGACGAGCCAATTGTCCAGGAACCTGCTG